TTGGTAATCAGACGATCTCCATCAAAGAAAATAAAAAAAGTCTCTGAGTCGGAAAATTTTTAAACGGTAATGTCGTAACCCTAACTATAGATTTCTCTGCATTAGGGTTTATTTTTCCAAAATTCAAACGTGTATGTTGTTGTCTGATGGGTCTACTCCCAGATCTGGAGTAAACCGGTGGTTGTGAACTCCGATCTGTCTGAACCGCCTCCAAATCGTTACTAGACCGCCGCAACACCTGCAAGAACTCAACACTGGAAGTGTTTCCGGCGTAGAGCCTCCGACGCTCAAGTCAGTATGTGAAAGAGATGAAGAAGAGAGCTGCTCTGAGAGAGCAACAACAGAAGAGGATAGTGTATAGAATGAATGGAAGTTTGGATTTAGGGTTACTTCATCTCCTTTATATAGGAGAAAACACTTACTTGAAGTACCCAAAATGCCCCAGTCAGTCTACCTGCCCGATTCAACCATCCTGAGCCCGATCCGGTGATTTGTTCGTGTTTTAGTGACTCGATCAGAATCGAGAAAGGCCAAACCCGTCAGCCCATCGGGTTTTGTTAATCAGACGATCTCCAGCAAAGGAAATAAAAAATGTCTCTGAGTCGGAAAAATTTTTAATCGGTAATATTGTAACCCTAACTATAGATTCCGCTACATTAGGGTTTATTTTTCCAAAATTCAAACGTGTATGTTGTTGTCGTTCCTAATAGAACCCAACAATAGCCATATAACCGGGAATTGATTTTCTCTCCGTCGTCGCTATTTGAAGAAAATTAAAGGTAATTTTTGAAACTCTCTACAAATCAAAATTCATACTTTTACGTGATTTTAAGAGATGCTGATCGTAACCATCGCTATGTGAACCGAGGGGTAGTATTTATTTGATAAATGCTTATTTTATTTCGTTTTATTTCCTCTGCGTTTCACCCCGTACGGACTAGAGAACCCAACACATGCGACATGTGTACATCTACATTTTTGGTATTCAACATTAACATTAACCTTCCATTATGAACCAAAATTAGTTATGCACGAATTGTCAATCATATCTTAACTTTTTAAGGGTCACAATCTTAAATAAATGAAAATAATATGGTGATATGTATATGCATAAGTGTAGAATATGTTTATTTAATATTAAATAAAATAGATTATTTTTTTTACTTAATTAGATGCCTAATACATCAAGTGTCATATCAGTCGTGCTTCAAAGTTTTTTTTTTAACTTTATATATAATTTTAGAATTTAATTGTATTTTATATATATAATATGGATGTCAAATCGAAAATCGTTAAAAGATGGTTAATTTGATATATCATATATGAAAAATAAAATACAAACATTATAAAAACTAATGAATGAATTATATATGAAAATGAAATGTGATATATGTTAATGTAGGAAAATGAAACATAAAATGATTTATGGTAACTAATTGTAGAAGTAAATAAGAAAAAAATCAATTATGGATTTAGTATAATAAAAATATTAATTTATATCCAAGCCTAACTCCAAAGCATGGTTTTTTGCCAAATAGGATTCAAAGCATGAGAGTTTGTCGCGTAAGCTCAGCGCATTCTGAAATTATATATAGAGGAGATTCTACCTAATAAATAAAACATATTTAATTTTACCTACATGTCACTTTTCTAATGTTATAAGCAATAAATTTTACCTAATAAATAAAACCTATTTAATTTTATCTACATGGACTTTCCTAATATAATAACTGTTACAATCTATTATTATTATTAATATCCTTAATATAATTTGAAAACGTGCTGAGCCTAAATGGCTGGTTCGCACACTTCGGAAGCTTACTTGGCAACATTACATGCTTCGGTTTTTTGTTCGGATAAAAATTAATACAATTATATTCTTTTGCTTAACTTGGTTCGGATAAAGTTTAATACAATTATATTAATCAAAATTAATACAATTATATATTATTTAGGATTCTTGGCCGGTGTATCCGATTAATCGGATATGCATTACAATTATATTAATCAAAATTAATACAATTATATATTATTTAGGATTCTTGGCCGTATTCGATTAATCGGATATGCATTGTTTTCTGAAGCAATTCTTTGCCGTGTATTAGTCGAATTTTCTTATTCTGTACTTTTTGTTTTATCGCAATATGTGCGAGTTTAGTTTTTGTATAATTGTATCGATGATGGCTCACTCTGTTTCTCGTTTTTCAGTTGGGGTTTTGATATTTATATGCATGTATTTTACTTTCAGCACAAAGCTTTTATTTTCCAGCAACCTTTTTTTTCTTCTCAATTTATTTGATTATTTTTATTGCAGGCCTGTGATTGCTCTAGGTTATCCTCTGTAAGTCTCATTTTGGGTTATGCCTTTGATGTAAAAGTGAATTATCACATTTGATAGGTGACTGCGGTTTTTGACAGAATTTAGGATAAAATGGGATGATTGTAATGGTTGAAAATATTTAAGAATAAAAAGGAATTGTGCTTATTAATTATGTTGAACTTTCAGGACAACTGTTTTCAACACAATTGAAGAAATAACATCGGCTAAAGAAACATGGAAAATACGCGTCCGTTGTGAGCTTGTATGGTTCAAACAAGACAAGAACCAACCTGAAAATCGTGTTGAAATGGAGAGTTGTGTCTTAGACGAAAAGGTACACGGTGGTTTCAATTCAACACCTTTTTCCTTCATATGCCCCTTCTGATTATTATCATATGAGCTATAGGTATTATAATTCGAGTTTTTTAATACATCAATTATTGTCAATATATATATAAATTGTCATTATTGTCTCTCCTTGAATTGTAATTTGTTTGTGTTGGTTCTGGCATGTCAACAATGCATTTTATCCTATGCGTTATGTTTAAGAAATTTCTAGAAAATCCTTAATTTGGTATGACTGGTTATGCTGATAGAGTTAGATTTGTTTTCCCCTGTAGATATACAAGATGATCAAATATAGTCTTTTGTTTTGCATTTATCTCAACAGTCAATTTCCTTTTCACTAATTCAACAAGCCTGAAAAAAAATATTTAAACACAAATACCCATGTAAATACACGGGTGTTGAATTAGGAAGCATATGTAAAAAATATTAATTTTTTTAAACTAAATAGTTTAATTTTATATAAAATATTACTTTGGGTTTAATTTAAATTGTCAAATTATATAGAGCTTGAATATTTTTGTTTTCTATTTTTGCACTTTTATACGACAATATGTGTTTTTTCTATTATATATTGTTTTATATATTTTTTTTCCAAACAACTCGTGTAGTACACGGGTGTCGTACTAGTTATTATTATTAGTACATTAATACACCCTATCCCGTTGTAAAAGATTTACTTGGGCTTTTTTAGGTTAATTAAGACCAAAACTTTGTATTTTATATTAATTGACTAACAATTATATTTTTTTATTGTATCATATAATTGTTATTATTAAATTTAATAAGTATACTTTATACTAAATATTATATGGAAGTTACATAAATATAAAAAAATATATTGTAAAAACTTTTTGTTGATGTTGTTTATTCTAAAAATAATATTATATTTTTTATCTAATTAAGCATCATTTTTTAAGTAAATTAATTTATTTTAATGTCATAGTAAAATTCCCTAAATCGTATATACAATTGTTATAATAATTTAATAGTCTTTAGCTAATTAATTGTTCTTGATCCCTCAATATTATAAAATTGCATTATTTATTATATTTTATGCAATCAATATAGTGATTCATATGCAATTAAATCGTTATGTACTATTTATTTTAACCAATGATTGAATTTAAGAACATAATACATTTATCTAACTTATAATTTTAATATTGTATGCATAAATATAACTTATAATAGTCTATGTTTAAAATATAATATCATTATCTAATTTATAATTTTAAAATTATATGCATACAAGTAACTTATAACACTTTATTTACATCTATGCAAATGCACCTGGTCGAATACTAGTTCAATTGATGATAAAGACTGAACTGGGCTCGCTTGTGCGTATATTTGTGCGTATATTTAATGAGTAATGCTATTTAGCCAACTTAGATGACAACTTGGGTTACAACTCAAATGTAAATGTATTATCAAAAAATTAAAAAATAATACATTTACACTTGAGTTGTAACTCAAGTTGTAACCCAAGTGGCTCTATAGCATTGCTCATATTTAATTGAGATAAATTTTTATATGATGCTCGACTAAATTTACTTGACTAAATTTGGACTTGTTGTGCGCGTGAACATACAAACATTAGTAAGCCTCAACATGAACACAACAAAATTATGTGTAAACCAACCGCTAGCTACTTTGTTGTTATCACTTTAAAATGTGCAAGAATTACAAGCCTATTTAGACAGTTTATGAAGTCAAACTTTGTCAAATTATATTCAACATAATTTTCTTTTGTATCAAATTTAATAACAAAGTTTTAAAAATATATATGTAAATTCGGCTGATCATTTCAAGGGACGACAAACTTTCACTTGATTTTAGACTAAATTTGAGTGGGCCGTGTACGACGACTAGTATAAATATATATTGATTATGTGTTGTGTTATGTGTAAA